TTTAGCAACCCAATCAAATGTCCACCACTTGAACCTCATCAGAGGAATTTCTCCACCTCTAAAATGCCATCCTGTTATCCTTCCATGTACCAAGTCTGCCTTCGGCTTTAGGGCAACTCCAGTCTCCAACTCCCCCATAACTTCTCAGCTCATGAGTTCCTTCCTGACTTCTTTATGATGCCCATCCCATCCCCATCTACACACAGACACAGTGTAGAGTGGACAGTAACTTCAACTACAACTATGCTTTCCTCAGGGATCTCATTTCACTTGCCCCTTGACCTTCTCCTAAGTTTGCCTTGCTGGTTCATAACCTGGAGTCTGGCTGTGGGCTTCTTGCTCTGAGGCTGGCCAACATTTCTGGTTTCCAACCAGAGTCCGATCTCAGGCAGCTTGGCAATCCTTTTGCGTTTCCCCAATCTGACCTTTTCCTTTCCCTATAGCAACTGTTCCAAACAGGATTCCAACCTCCCCTCGCCTTCCTCGCTTGCAGTGGTCAACTATTCCTTCAAAGTACAGGGACAAGTGAGACCATTGGTGAGAACTTCCACTTTGAAGGAGGACAGGCTAGCTGTATCATTCCTGAGTTGCACTAACCTCTGCTTCAAAATGTACAGTGTTCCTTCCAAGGCGCTCAAACTTCTCCTCTATCAGCTCTTCCTGTCCTCCCCTGCCCAGCCTCCTTCCTCACAACCTGTGAGGATGATCACATGTTTGTTTTCCCTGGAATATTTACCTTATCTTTCACTTCCCTTTACTACCTTTACTTCTCAAAAGAGATCAAAGGAAACCAGTCACGTTTTCAAGCAGTAATGGGTTACCAGAATTGGGTGATAAAGTGCAAACTTTGGCCTCCTGAACAAAGCAGAAGCGTCCCCACGACCAGAGCTGAAGCAGACGTCAGAGCCAGGCCTGCCCAACAAGAGTGGCCAGATGCCAGTGCCTGAGTGTCACCATGGAGCTCCTAGGGGTCAGAAGAGGTCCCTGGCCGGGGGTAGGAAGAAGTCTGAGTGGAAGCACATGTGGCCCCAGCTGCGAGGAGGGGAGGAAATGGGGGCAGGGACCACTCAGGGTTGGCAGGAAGAGAACTTGGCCTCTACCTCTAGCCTTGTCCTGCCACTGTGAAGCCTCAGCACTCTCTAGGACACTTCTGTTGGGGGGGTCCCCCCAGCCTGTGTATGGACATCTCCGGGGATTAGAAGTATGCTACTCTTCCATGTGGCCCATTTTACTTTTAGGAGGATCTTCCTTTTATGGAGTCTCATTCTGTTCTGCCTTCTGAGGCCACACAGAGGAAATCTAGACTCCTTTTTGATATAATAGCCCTGCAAAGGTATAAAAAAAGTGATCGTGAAACATCTCTTTTCTTGATGAAACCTCAAGTTCCTTCAAGAGCGCCTTGAGTGAAACGGCACTGAGGGTCCCGCACCAAGCTGGATGGTCCCCTCTGAACGTGTCCACTTTGCCAATGTCCACCTTAAGCTACTGTGCCATGAATGTCACACTTCACAGGTGAGCTCTTCGAGGGAAAGTACAACTGTCATCAACCTCACTCTGGTCAGTAGACTTTCAACATCTTATTTTGCTTTTCTGGCACCTGTGTGGACTCAGGCTGAAGCACCCTTTTCCACAAGCTTTGGCACAGGAATTGAGGTCAGAGGTCAGTGACACCTTCCTTATGGAGCATCATCAGCTTCCACACCAGTTATCAAAGCTCCCCAGGCCTATGGCCCATCTCGGTGCAAGTCATCAGTAGCATAGTAAGTTAATCAAACACAGGGCCGTCCCCCCAGTTTGCTCTATTTTTCCTTCTCTTGATTCCACTCGTTTTAAAGGTCTCAGCCCTGAGCTCAACAAAGCCCTAGATTTCTGCTGGCCCTGCCCTCCTGTAGGAAACTTCTGCCCTTCTGCTGCAAGCTGCCCTTCCTGCCAGCCAATCTGCAGTGCTCTAGACTGCTTGTCTGACCTCCCTCCGAGAGCTCCCACAGCTCCCAGCTCAAGGCAGCTAAGTCCCTAATCCTGGAGGGTGGAGACTCTAGGTCCTGCTGCTCTGGGATGAGCTGGCCACTCTGGCACTCCAGGGATTGGAGATGTGGCCACAGCCATGCTGGGGTAAGTGGACACCAATTAAAGGATTACTGGCAACAAGAAACGACTCCTGATTCTGGTTTGATTGGACAGGGAATTTGGGACTCAAGTGTAGAGCTGCCCCAGCCAGGTGCCCTCCCCAGTCCACCTATTCTGATTCAACATCCGATTAGAGGGGCCAGGAATTTCTGCCTCAAATGTAGGTCCCTTCCAGAATAAAGTTACCATTACATGAGAGGGTGACTCTGTGGTCAGGGGGCAGCAGTTAGGTGGTCAGGCCCAGGACACAAACTCCACATTCTTAGAAAGACACCATCCCAGCCCAGTCCTCTCCGGGTCTTCTTGCAGAGTGAACTGGTCCTTTTCCTTCCTTTCAAGTCTTTTTTTTAAGGGTCCTTCTGTATCTCAGCCGGCCCTCCTTTTCCACAACAGCTATATCTTCTCATTCTTTAAAACATGCCAATACCTCCTGGCAGTAGTTGCTGCAATTACTCGTCAACCCAAGGGATGCCACTGACAAACCAAGCCACTGCCTCCATTTTTGCTAGCACCTGCCACACTTCCTTCTAATCAGCTACTCCTACTTTCTAACCCCACCACCACCATCATCACCCATCCTAAAACGCAAGTGTTATTTCCAGGTTCTAAACCCTCTGTCTGTTCTAACTCTCCTGCCTGCTCCTTCACAACTTTCTGTGCCTTTCCTTACCATCACCTCTCCACTCCCCTCACCTCATGTTCTCCTTTTCCCCATTTAAAAATCGTATTCAAAACCCTCCTCAGATCCAGCCGAGGGTAGAAATGCAACACTTCCTTCTCAGGCGAAGAGCTTCTTAGAAAGCGGAACTCACCTTCCTCCTCAGATACCAAAAATATGCAACCTTGTCTATATGCACAATGGGTCTTAGGGCAAAATTACAAGCAACTTGGTCTAAGGACTAGAAAACCCTGGAGGAAAATAGGAATTGTATACAGTGTGCCCTGGGCTATAACTGAAAAGGGAGGCCTGGAAACAGTGGAGATCCTAGTTTAAAATATCAAAGAGCAGCTAAATTACTCACTTCAAGCATCAAAGATATAATCAACTTTCTCCGTTTTCACAGAAAATAGAGGCAAAGACTATGGGATTAAGTTTTACAAGTAATATCTAGTAGACTTTAGTCTATTTATATCTATCTATCTATAAATACCATGCCCATCCATGAAATGAGATGGTGCTACTGACCCACTGTCACATGAGCACTCACTACGGTGGAGGCTTTTCCAATTTTAGAATTGACTTAAATGGCTTTATCGTATCCTTTTGACACATTTTCCATACAATCAATTACACATTTGTTGAGTTTTCAGTATTCATGCACTAAAAACTCAATTTCAATTTGCAAATAATAGTAAATATTATAAAAAATAAGAGCATGTTAAAAGATCAATACGTGACACAATGAACTAGTTCAAGTCATCTGGACCTAGGTCTCTAATGAATAGATACCTGGGAAATAGAAGAATCTGAAGATGCTTTGGAATTACAAAATAAACAGTTCAAACTTGGAAAGGCTTGACAAAAGCCAAAAGAAATAGTTACTCATAAAAGAACTAGAATTCTAATTGAAAAAGCAGAAATCTGATGCAAATTTAAATATAAATAAATGCAAATAAAAGTGATATTGCCTCGGGGGAGGGGGCTAGTGGGGGGGGGTCTTCCATTTTTGTATATATCTAGGCCAAAAGTCAATACATAAATAAAACAATTAAACAAAGGAAGAAATTCAATAAGAGATCTTGCCTTTAGGAAAGTCCCCTCTATTTTTACATAAATATATACAGGATCAAGAAAATAAAATCTAGCCAGGCTCAACTCTAGATCCCCAGGAATTTAAAACTCCCGCCCCCCCCACCCCCAATTTGACAGATGCAAGAACTGAGGCCAAGAGAGATCAAATGACTTAGTTACAGAATCCAGACTGGAACCTAGGACTCTTGATTTCTAGTCACTGGATTTCTTCATTCTATTACACTGCCAGTGAGTTCATTCTCAAGGCTATGTAGAAACAGGGAAAATGTCCAGACATAATGTTAAGTAGAAAAAAGTAGGATACAAAATCAGAGGCAGTGCAGTGCTAGTCACACCTGAGTAATCTCAGATCTGCCCCTTACTAGTTCCATGACCTTAGGGTCAACCACTCTGAACCTCCAAAAGAATAATAGTAGTATTGATATTTATCTCATAGGATTGTTATGAGACTAAACAGGAGAAGGAATGTGAGAATAATGTCTGTCATATAGAAATGTTTGATGTTAACCACTGTTATTACCATAATTATACCATAAACTCAGCTGTGAACAGAACAAGGACTGGAAAATGATATGCAAAAATGAAAACAACTGCAAAGATGGGATGATAAATATGCATGTTTTTTATTTCTCTAATAATGCTATATCATTTTCCAATAAGAAAACGGTGTTGTTTTTTTTTTTTTCAGCCGTACCGCGCGGCTTGCAGGATCTTTGTTCCCCAACCAGGGATCAAACCCAGACCCCTGTAGTGGAAGCATGGAGCCCTAACCACTGGACGACCAGAGAATTCCCCAAGAAAAAAGCATTTTAAATAGAGACCTAAAGCAAAAAAACAAACCCATACTGGGACTTGAGTCTTAGTCTGCTCTTTCCTCCAGAGGGACTGAAGGCTCCCAGTTTCTAAGACTGCTGTGGCAACTGTTGGTGGAAAAGGTCAGGCTTTGGACAACAGCCTGAATCCCCTGGAAAAGACAGGGAGAAATGTTCCAGAATCCAGAAGATTCTGTCTCAGATCAGACCCTGAGAGAACTTTGTAGCTACCGGTTAAATCAGATTCTTTCAGTCACGCATACATGCATTAATTCAGTCATTCAAACATTCTTTGAACCACTAGTGTGTACAAGGAACTGTACTATGAGCTTTTAATGAATTAGAATGACCCACTGGATGAATTTAGAACAATCTCCATTATATAAGTGAAAAAAAAAGCAAGCTTCAGAACACTGTGTATAGAATGCTACCATTTGTATTAAAAATAGATATATAAATATACATATTTAAAAACTTGTAAATGCATAGAATTGCTCAGGAAGGATACATAAGATATAGAAACAGTGATTAATTCTGAAGAGGGGGATGTGGAACTGAAGGCTGACCTCCATTGGGAAGCTTACTTTTCATTGTATTCTCTTTTTGCGTTGTTTGGGCGTCTTACCATGTATGTGTATTAATTTTTTCCAAAAATGAAAAAAAAAATTAAAAACAAGTAAAAGTAAGTGTGCCCAGAACTGAATACACAGTGATGACCAGGGCAGGCAGAGGGGTTTTTCTGCAGTCTCGGGGAAGGCAAAGTGTGTTGAACTTGCTGAACCACAGCTGTTTTCAAAAGCCAGACTGTTTACATAAGTTAAGGGAAGAGCTCTTTCTACACCAATTAGCTTATAGTAATTCGGCATATCATTTTACAGAGATAAAGGAGTTGGAAAATAAATACTAGTCATTTGTCAAGCCTTAGAGTGTATTAAATTGTAGTTTCTACAAGGGTGGGGATCTTATCTGTTTAACTTGATCAGTAGAGCATTCACTCCAGCAGATAAGTGCTTGTTACAGCAAGCATTTTCTGATAACAAATGATAGCACAACTATTTTAAAACATCTTTAAAAGAAAAGATCAGAAGATATTGGACCCTGAGGGAACCATGTTCCCTGTGAGGGTTGGGCCACTTTTTCTGGAATAGCCTCACCAAAATAATGATCTTCAAATGGCAAGATAAATCCCAATGAGAATGAAAGGTCACAGAGACACTGCATGTGCTTCGGAACACCACAAGCAAATGTGGTGCACAGGGCCCTCCTTGGGGTGAAAAGGCACAGACTGACTCCAAAGAGAACCTGGTGCTCAGTGGGGCACCCCAACTGCAGGGGAGGTAGGAAAGCAGTTGTCTGGATGGCTGCAAACTGTTGATAAGCTGGCAGCCAGCCAAAGTAGCCGGGTCACTAAGGCAACACAGCAGCTGACATCATGGACTTTAGAACCAGATGGGCTTGACTTACAAGGTCACCCAGCGACTTATTTAACCTCTCTGAGCCTCGGTTTTCTTCTGTGTAAAATGGAGGCTAACTGTGAGATCACTGTGAGGACAAAGTGAGAATCACTGCAAAGTGTTTTTAGAAAGATGCTGGGCCCACAAGCAGGACTTAAAGTGCTGTCAATCATCACTCTTGCTAAACAGTGGAGAGATGTCCCAGACCAATCATAACTGACCATCAGCATCAAGTCTGAATAGCCTGGCAAGGTACACTCCACCCTGACATTGATAGTGTTTCATAGTCAATAATCCCTGACATTGATAGTGTTTCATAAACTAGAAAATGCTTCCATACTTATCACCTCACAAAAGCCTGTGAATCGAGTTGGATGGGATATACTAGGTCTATCTTGAAGGGGAGGGGCTGGTGAAGAGGTTTGTTAAGAGCTGGTTGAGGGCAGAACCCAGGCTGTGACCCAGGTTTCTTGGTGAGTGGCTCGACATTCTTTCCACTCCATACCATTCCCAGGAAGGAGATAGATCTGAGGTCAGGACAGGTCAAACCCGTGATTTCACCACCTCCTCTCCCCCAGCTCCAGCTACACTGTCTCTGAAAGTGGTTCAGCCATCCATTTCAAACGCTTCTATCAGCCTCCTCTATAATCTGTTCCTGTGAATGGCCCCGGGTGCAGGGTAGGCACCCTGCAACTGGAATTAGGAAGGGGTGACAGCTGAGTTGGGGCCAGCTCTGGCTCTGCATGCAGCCGGAATCAGGCCCGGTTTGCCCTCGCTGCCTGCTTGGGAAGCAGGGACATGGTGGCCTTGCCAGGTATGGCAATCATTAAAAAGCACTGTTTCTCTGAAACTGAAACAAGCGCTAACCTTTCCCAATGCCATTAGCGTCTCCACTAAAAATCTGGCATTTGACAGAGGAAGAAATTTTTTTTTCAATTGTGAAAAGGTCAGGCATATTTACCTGACTTAATAATTTATCATTGATATTCAATGTCTTCCTTGAAGGATCGCCTCTAAGAATGCAGTCAGCACCCACTTCCCTTTGCTGCACTAGATCCTGCCGGGCCCAGCCCCACATCCCACCCATGCAGGGCTGCGGCAGCTACTCAGAGCAGAGGTCAGAGGACACCTCCGCACAGCCGGCTCCTTGTGCTAGGTCAGGTCCTAACTCTGCCATCAGAGAAAAGACAGCCCAGCCTCCCATGTCTAATCCCAATTCTGCCACACCCGAGTTCCCTGTGGCAGGGGTGATATCAAGGCCTCTTGAACAGTGCAAGAAAAGTACAGAATTCCTCCCTTCTGTCCCTCTCCCTCCTCCCACCAGTAAAGGGTTCTCTTAGTTTGAAAAACTGTTTGTAGGAAAGATGGAGGCGCCCAGGAAAATTTCAATAGGCCCTAAAAACCAAGGCTGCTAGCTCAGGGGAGAACTTGGAGGTGACTCTTGCCCAGCATAAGACCCTCCCCTCACCCCTTCAGAAGTACTGAGCTCCTGGTTTCCACACCACAGCTCCAAAATCTAGAGAGGACCGTCCTTGGGCAGCAGGAAACACTGTTCTCCCTCAGAGATGGGACAATGAGGGAAGTCTTAGGTGGAGTAGGGTAGGGCCAGGCTCACTGGAAGAGGAATACAAGAGCCTACCTGCATGGTAAGAAGATTTTTTTATTTGAAATATAGTCTGAGCAACACGGGTGCAGCCGAGAGGAGGAGGGGCTGGCCTGCCTGGGGCAGCAGCCTCTCTAATGGCACAGGAGCAAGAGTACAAATATCCCAGTGTCTCTGTGCCCCAAACCCCACTCGTCAGGAAAGGCAGAACAGCAGCAGAACAAGGACGCACAGCTCCTTCTGAAGGGGGTCTGCCTCTCGGTGCCTGCCTGACTTGGCTGCGTTTCCTGCTCTCCCGGGTTCCAGACAGAGGTGTGCTGCAGAAGTTTCTCCCCCCACACAGACAGGATGGGCCAGTGTGACAATTAATTCTCCAGGACTCTTTTTTGGGGAACGAATCAGAGAAGACAGAAAGGAACAGCATGGTGACCAAGGGCCCTCTGCAAGCCAGGCTGGGCGAGCTCTCTGAGAGGGACTGCGCCAGCACCCTCATCCCCCTTCTCAGGCTCCAGTGGCAAGAAAGAGAGCTGCTGTCAGGAGGCTCCTGGCTGAAGGCAACGAGCGGGGAGCCTCCCAGAAGAGCACAGCTGCTGAGGGGTTTCTAGCTGAGGTGACAGCATCGGGGATGGGCCACTTAAGCAGCCTGGGGCTGGAAGGACGCCGACAAAAGTTGGGGTACCAGGAAGCAGCACAAAGCCATAAATAACAGAAGCAAATTCAGAGCTGTGAGGGTCCTGGATGACCCCGCCATCTCCTGGGGCTGGGGGACACCCAGCCCCCAGCAGCTCAGGGCAGACACTGCTCCAGGGCCCAGCCAGCCACACTCACACCGGGGTGGAGCCTTCTCTTTCCCACTGTCCATGTGGCAGGCGGAGGACAACACGGCACCACCCGACTGCACACTGCAAAGCTTCCAGTCACACCTGTGGGGACGGTGTGTGGCTGTCCCGGTCCTGAGAGGCCTGTGGTTGACTCTGAGCATCTTGGGCACCATCCTCGTCAGGGGCCAGGCCCAGTGACCTCCTGGCCTCTGAGTCACCCAACAGAGGCTCCTCGGCACACTCTTCCAGTCCGTTCTCCCTGGTCTCCACGGACACCTCCTCCCCAGAGCCCTCCTCTGGCTCTGCCGCCTCTGCCTCTTCCTCCTCCTGGTCTCTCACCTTGTGGACGATGAAGAGGTGGCGGCTGAGGGAGCTGGCAGAGGTGTAGCACAAGCCACAGAGGAGACACTGGGCTGTGGAGCTGTCCTTCTGGTGCTGAGGTATGTGGCTCTGAAACTCGAGCCCTGAGTCTGTGGCAAAGCTACATTTCGCACACTGGAAAAGGGACTTGTGCCTTTTGGTGGAAGAGACAGTCGCGCCGTTGCTGGTGTCTGGAGCATCCCCTGCTCTGCTGACTGGTCTTTTCAGATGGTTCACCTGAAAGGGGAAACGATGTGAGCCTGAGACATGAGCCCCCCAAACATGATAAACGCAGCCCAAGGACTCACAGAATCACCACCCAGGCCAGGCTCACCACAGCCCTAAATTCTGGTTTAGGTTTGGTTTGTTTCTTATGTTTGTTTGTTTAATGTAACACATACATGTGGCACAACATTCCAAAGATATGGGAAGGGTATAGAAAAGATTAAGTCCCTCCTGCCCGGCTCCCCAGCCCTGCTCTCCAGAGAACACCGTATTACCTGGGTTCTGTGGCTCCTCCAAAAGATATTCTATCTGTACACAGAAATAAAACTACTGCCTTTTATGAAATGATAGCATTACACGCACACTCTTCTTCACCCTGCTTTTTTCACTTAAAAACATATATTGACACATTTCTTTATGCCCAAGGCCAAAGATATCTGACAGATAAATCTTAGAAGCAGAATTGCTAGATCAGAGGATGTATGCATTTGGCAGAGAAGGGAGGGTATGCATTTTAATCATAGACAGATGTTGCCAAAATGTCAACTGACACCCTTCCTGCTGTGTGTGAAAGGGCCTTTGCAGACCAGGGCCCTTCTCTGAATAGCCATTAAAGAAACTCCTCAAAATCCAGGCAGTTTCCCAGACATGCCTGCCCCTCTGAGCAGCAGCCCCTCGCCGTGGAGTGGGAAGACCCTACTGCGAGGAGGCTGCTCCAGAAGTTGACCAGAAATGGACTAGGGCATGAAATAGGGATGAGGCCAGAGGACGAAGGTCCAGGAGAGCAGGAGTCTAGGTCTGGCTCCTCTGTAACTGGGGGTGGGGGTGGGGAGGTGACTCAGCCAAGCATGGCCACCCTCACCTAACAGTGAGCCCTGCCTACCCCTGCCTCCTAGGACTGCAGAGGGGCAGAAGCAGGAGGGTATGTGTGAAAGTACTCCGATGGCCACAGAATGCAGCATACACCCAAGGAAGGGGGTCGCAGTGACAGGGAAACATAAAGAAAAAACGGTCAACGGGCTGCCTTGTGGGTCTTTGTTCCTGTCCTTTCTTTGTGTGCAGTCCCCAGGCAGGTCACACAAGACTAGAGAGTGACTGGCATTGAGGGACGCTGTCACTGCTGGCTGCTCCACGGCCACAAGGACAAATGGGCTCCCTGTAGCCTTCCTAGTGCCCCTCCAGCTCCAGCCGCACTGGGCAAGCTGCTCCAGTTGGCAGGGGTCCCACACTCACCTGAGGGGAATGTCCGCCCGAAGGTCTGACTTTGGACGTCTGGCTCAAATCAGGGTTTCTGATACCATGCATAAGGCTGATGTGGCTCTCCAGGAGGGAGGGCCGAGGAAAGCTGGGGCTGTCCTCTGTGCAATACCTGCAAAAGTACAGCCGAAAGAGGTCATGTAAGATGACAGGCTCCGGGGCCCAGGGGGGCCAGGCAGGTCTGGCAGGCAGGCAGAGGCAAAACTGCTTCTGGCTCCAGCGGGGAGAGAGTTTGGAGCAGGCAGAGCGGCCCTCAGGCTGGCTGGGTGGTGCTGGGTACTCCCCAGAGAAATCTAGCCAGCAAGCCAGCCAAGGTGGCAGACAACAACAGCAAATCAGAGTATCTGTACTGGCCCTGAGCTATGACTGCACTCTCCACTCTCTGGTATCAGGGTCCAGAGACCCAAGTGCTGGGCTAGTGGTCAGCCTGAAAGAGTGGCCTGTCCTGTCCTAAAGCTCGGACAGACGGTGCTGAAGGCTCACAGCCGACCGGGGCACATGCTCACATTGCCACCACTCCTCTCAAACCTCAGGGCCCTCCACTGCTGACTGGCAGGCCAGCCTGGGGTTAGGGAGTTGGGAAGGGGGAGGGCTCCAGAGCCACCAGGCTCTAGCAGCTTATTTCTGGAATGCCCTCATTTCTGACCTAGCCACAGCATATTCCCGTTAGAAACCTGCTTATCTCTTGCCTTTGAGCCCTAATCTCACAGCAGAGAAAAGCCCCAGTGGTACTATGGACAGTCTTGATAAATTCAGGCCTCCGGGCTCCCGCCCCCAGGGACTCACCCACAAGTGTAGACTTTCTTTACTGTGTCGTGGTTGTTGCGGATGTGTTTGCGCAGGCTGTTGGGGGTATGGAAGGACTGTTCACACTGCCGACATGGGTACCGCTTCAACGTCTATGGGAGATGACAGGATGCAAAGCATCAGAACCGTAAGACAGTTCTGGGTGCATTTTTCTTCTCAGATGATGAAGGCAGAAAGGAGGATGCCCCAAGACCTCAAGATCTGTAGTACCCACCATGCCCAAAGCACCAGGAAGTTGTCCACATAAGGGGGCTATGACCCCACAGGACAGAAGTCCAGAGAATCTGGGGCTGCACTGCGCCCGTGTGGCTACACTTACCCGACCATGGCTCTTTTTCATGTGGGACACATAGCTCTCCCGATCAGGAACCCACTCCTGGCACTCCTGGCAGGTCCAGCCAGTGTTCCTCAGCCGGGGCCTGGCCTCACCCCTGCGATGGGCTTCTGGCCTGCCCCAGCGGCTAGAGGGCAGGGAGCTGCCCCGAGCAGCCACATTAGTGGCTGGGGGTTCAGTGGGAACTCGAGAGCCAGGGCGGCTTGAAGATGTGTCTGCTGAAGACTGGAGGCTTGACAGCTCGTCCACGTTTCGGGGAACACCGTGGGTGCTCTGGGGATGGGGAGAGCGATTACTGACTGGGCAAGGGGAAAGATGCACAGAGTCAGACCCCCGGCCTGAGGCATGTGCCCTTCTCCCCAGCCTCCTTCCCCAACGCGTCCCACCTTGACATGTTGCATCAACTCTGGCTTCTGCAGGAACAAGAGCGGGCACTCAGGGCACTTGAAGACGCCCACCTGCGCCTTACTGGCATTCTGGTAAAAATGCTGCTGAATGTGCCTCTTCTTGTTGAAGACCATTTCACAGGAGCACTTATAAATGAGCCTGACGAGACAAGCCCCAGCGTGTGAGGTACCCAAGGCTGCGCTGGCAGAACCACAAGGCCCCTCCACCCCATCTCTGATCTCTCTGAACCAGGGTCAGGTTTGGGGAAGCAATACTCTGAGCCAACGTTGATACTCAGCAGACTCAGGATGTCTTTAGAGGACTCCAGGCATCTCTGCCACTAGCCCAGGCTTCCCAGTCCATCCCAACACCTCCCCACAGAGCACCCAATCTATCAGCTCTGCTCCACAGGCCTGCTGGCCCTGGAGCTGCACTCACTGGGAGGGTCTGTGGGGCTGGGTGGGATGCTGGGTGGCGCTGTGGTCCGCGGTGCTACTGGCAGTCTTGAAGGCCATGGGGCAGAATGCACATTTGTGGAAAACCTGGCAGTGTCGCTCCTGGATGTGGCTTTTCAGCAAGGCCAAGGTCAAGTGGACTACCCCACAGTGGATGCACCTGGATAACAGATGTTGGGGGGTGCGGGGGGAGTAGGCATGTCAGACCGAGAAGTAGTGTTGGAAAAGGAGGAATGGAAGACAGGAACAGGGCCATCTCAGGGACCCTCCCTCTCCTCCTCCCTCATGCACTCAGTCTTCTATCCTCCACATGTACACCTCGAGAGCCTGCTTGCTGCCGCCTGGCACAATGCAGTCACCCAGGGTCCCCCAAGCCCAACACCCAACCTGGTAGAAAAGGGGGAAGACAGCCTCCCCTCCCCTCACTGGCCAGAAAATATTCTTCTGCAAACCAAAAACTTGAACACAGCCAAGAGAATCTGGTGGGGGTGGAGAGGGTAGAGAATGGTTCAAAAATGACATCAACAGTATCCATTTAAGTGTGATAACAACTGAAGGAGTCCAAGAGGAATTTCAGAAGGAGACTGCAGAAAGCCTGTGTCTTCCGCAAGCTGGAGCCAAACAGGCAGGGATGTTCACTGAATAAAATGTACAACTACGGAATGCTACACTCGCCATAACAACCACATTAAAATAAACAGCCCTCAAAGCCCAAGAAGAAATGCTCTAGAGCAGCACTCTCTGATGGAACTTGCTGTGATGATGGACATGTTCTATATTGCACTGTCCATGTGACTATTTAAATTTAAATTAATAAAATAAAATGGCCAGTTGCACTGGCTACACTTCAAGTGCTCAGTAGTTACATGTGCCTGATACTATTTTGGGTTTTCTTTTTTTTTTATAAATGTATTTTTTGTTTGTTTATTTATTTTTGGCTGCGTTGGGTCTTCGTTGCTATGCACGGGCTTTCTCTAGTTGCGGTGAGTGGGGGCTGCTCTTCGTCACGGTGTGTGGGCTTCTCATTGCAGTGGCTTCTCCTGTTGCAGAGCACGGGCTCTAGGCGCGCGGGCTCAGTAGTTGTGGCGCATGGGCTCAGTAGTTGTGGCGCACGGGCTTAGTTGCTCTGTGGCATGTGGGATCTTCCCAGACCAAGGATCAAACCCGTGTCCCCTGAATTGGGGGGCGGATTCTTAACCACTGCACCACCAGGCAAGTCCCCCTGATACCATTTTGGACCGTGCAGCTCATAAGTGTTCTAGTGTCTCCTTGGTGGGACTATGGATAACATTTTTTTTTTTCCCTACCAATTCAAATTTTCTGAGTTTTGTTTAGTGCATATATTATTTTTGTAAAGTATCAACTGTCTTAAACCGTTTTTCTGAAATTGAGGTCTGCTGTACTCTTCTTTCAACTTCAGAATATCTCTCTATAAATACTGTGTTTCCTTCCTTCAGTATCAGAAAATGATGTGACCTTCCTCCAGGCTAACCTGCATCTATTCAGGTTCCTAGACCCTCTCATGTGTTCAGTCTTTCTTCATGCCTATAAACACACACAGGTCTCCCCTACATGAGAAAACACCTTCCCTGCTCCCAGCTATTCCTCTTGAGATAACTATTATTTTCCGTTAGTTGCAATACTGCTTGCTCCTATAACCTTGACATCCCAGTAGGCTAAATAGAGGCTAGTAGGGAGGCTGTTGCTTTACTGAAAGGACATCCCTTCACTTAAGAATTCTTTGACTCCCAATATTAGCCTGCATTTCAATACATTAGCCCATTTTTGCAATCCACATAACTCATCACAGAATCCTGACCAGTCCTTTTTGTTTTTCTTCCTTTTGTGTGTGTTGGGGAGTGGGGGTGGGGGACAGAATCACCTTTTGCAAACTTAATTAGCAATGAGGAGAAGTGCACAGAACTCAAAGCCTGTTCGCAACTGAGGTCTATGAGCATTCGTTACTAAATGTGTACGTGTGTTACAGCAACTATACAAACTACTTACACTTAAATTATATTTTCTTTTCTCTCCTGCTAAACAAAATAGTGACCAACTCCTAGCACACAGAAGTACATCCATACCACAAGTAATTATGAGGAGAAAAAAAATCCACATATTTCCAAATTCATCCAAAGTGGCAAATACACCTGACATGTAAGGAATCTCCTAAGTGGTTTTATTTGTGCAGCTTGACCAAACTCCTACAGGAGCAATGTAAATGCGACGGAAAATCCATTCTATTTACCCAGCAGACATTCCTGGAAGAAACCTCATGGAAAGTAAGAATATAAAGGGGTAAAAGAACATGTGCCAAGTAGCCTCAGTGAAGGACTGAATCAAGCAGGGTTTACAAACTGATGAAAAACTCTGCAGAAGAGAAATCCAACCCTATGACACAGCTCTTTACCAACTGTTTAAGAGAAAAAGAGAAAACAGACAATTATAGAACCATATGCTGTCAAACACATAAAGTTTTAGAAAAGATAAAGAGCAGTAAAATATTTAGCTTTGCCAATAACCACAAATAATAAGAAAATAACACATTATTAAACAGTCTAAACTTGCTCCCTTATGACACTGGTCACAAATTTTCAAGAAAGAGCAGAATAATTTATAGAATTCTAAAAATATAATATTGTAAAACTCTGTAGTAGAGCTCAGTGAAATGGAACATAGGTACCTTCTGAGAATTTCCTAAAAAATATTAATACCCAGGGCTTCCCTGGTGGCGCAGTGGTTGGGAGTCCGCCTGTCGATGCAGGGGATGCGGGTTCGTGTCCCAGTCCGGGAGGATCCCACATGCCGCAGAGCGGCTGGGCCCGTGAGCCATGGCCACTGAGCCTGCGCGTCTGGAGCCTGTGCTCCGCGGCGGGAGAGGCCACAACAGTGAGAGGCCCGCGTACCAAAAAAAAAAAAAAAAAAAAAAAAATTAATACCCAGAGAATGGGAGAAAATATTAGCAAATCATACATCTGACAAGGGACTTGTAACCAGAATATATAAAGAACTCTTACAACTCAACAACATAAAGACAAATAACACAATTTTTAAATGGGCAAAGGATCTGAATAGATATTTCTCCAAAGAAAATATACAAATGGCCAATAAATTTATGAAGATATGCTCAACATAATTATCCATCAGAGAAATACAAATCAAAATCATGAGATACAACTTTATACCCACAACAACGGCTATAAGCAAATGTCAGACAATAACAAATATGTGAAGAAATCAAAACTCTCATACACTGCTGATAGGAATATAAATGTGGTATAGCCACTTTGGAAAACAATCTGGTAGTTCCTTATTTTACTGCTAGGTATATATCCAAAAGAACTGAAAACATGTGTTACATAATAACTTGTACATGAATGTTCATTAGCAGCATTATTCATAATAGCCAACAGGTAGAAACAAAAAAGGAATGAAATACTAATATATGTTACAACATGGATGAATCTTGAAAACATTAGGCTAAGACCACATATTATATGATTCCATTTATATGAAACGTCCGAAGAAGACACATCTATGAGACAGAAAGTAGTTGCTTAGGGTTGGGGGGATGGGAGGATTGCAAATATAGGGTTTCTTTTTGGGTGAGGAAAATATTCTAAAATTGATTGTGGTGACTGATTGTACAACTCTGTGAATATAGTAAAAACCACCAAATAGGACACTTTAAATGGGTGAATAGGATGGTACGTGAATTACATCTGAATAAAGCTGTTACCAGAAAAACACATTAATAGTTGAAGATCTTAAGTATAATGAATACTGTATTAGTGTGTATATCTTCTGAGTTCAACCACAGATCACTGAAAATTTTAATGTCAATATCTTCAGTAATACCTCTAGCTGAATCATAATACTTTTTTGTCTGACATTTCTTACAAAGGCTTGATAAACTAAATTCCTTTTGAGACATTAGGTTTCTTTCTACTCTTACAGAAGAAAGTAAAATATTTAATTAAAAGACAAAAAATGCTATTAATCCATCTGTGTTATTGAAAATTTCTTGGATTCAAGATTCAAATACAAAAATTAAAGTGTTGATTGCATTGCTATTGGATTCGATTTGATCTTGAAACAAGCAGCATACACTTAAGTCAAAGTTAGAAAGGTATTTTCAAACTTTATGAAAACTGCAAAAAACACAGGTTCAGGTGTTTGGTTTTAAAATGTAGCCTGGGATGCTGCCCAGCAATGCTCTTCTGCAACACGGAGGCAAGGGCTTTGTATAACCCCATCTCTGGATTATTTTCTTCCCATACACTTTAGCTTCTCCATTCTCCATAACATGTAAAAGAAATCAGTCTACATTTGGACATGCTTATACCAAGAGAGAAACCTGGAAGATCACTAACCACTCCCCATCCCTCACCCCAGTATACAAGCTATCATCAAGCCCTAATGTTTCTACTTCCTAATCTCTCTCAAATTTACCTTCTCTCCATCCCCACAGCCATGCCTTAGCTGAATCCCTCGGTCTCTCATCTGGATTGCCACACAACCAGTCTCTAATCTCTCCCCTCTAATATACATGTCAGCTTTCCAGAATGATCTTTCTAAAACACAGATCCAGTTGGATCACTCCCCTGCTGCAAATCTTTCTGTAGTTCATCACTGTCCACTGGATAAAGTCCAAACGTCTGCCAAGGAATACAAGGTCTTGCACGGCCTGGCCTCTACCAACTCCCTAGTCTCATTTCTCACCCTTCCTCCGGTTCATCCTGACCTACATCTATTGAAATGCTCATCATTCCTGTAAGTCCTTTTATGTGTGCTGGTATCCCTTGCCTATGCTCTTGCCAGATATGCTCTTCCCCTTTCTTCTACCTAGAATCTCCTAGTATCTCCTCTATGAAGCTTTCCTGACCATTCCTCAACTATGGGACTTACCACTTTGAATCGTAATTACTTGTGTGCATGTCTGTAACCTATCAGACTGAAGCCCCTTGAGGGCAGGAGCTGGGTCTTAATCATCTTTGTATCTTGAGTGTCTGGCACAATGCTAAAGACAACAGTAAGTACTCAAGAAATGTTTATTAAATGAACTAAATCAATAAAAAAATTTAATACCAAAGAGAAGAAAACCTTAATAAAGCTGGGCAAAATTATATTTCTGAAGTAAAAATAATCAAGTAAAGCATGAGAAGATGTAGAAACTCCTGAGCAACCAGTAAACCAGTAAAGGAGACCTGATTGCGTCAATGTAAAATGATGGATCAATGAGTTTTGGAGAGAGTGTTCTCCCTCGTTTTGATCTTTTTCCTGAAAATGACTTCTTGCTTATATTTGTTCAACACAATGGAGAAGATTCAGTTTAATTAAAATAGAGTTTTCTCAGTTTTACCATGAAGCTGATGATTTTTTCCATTCTTAGGTTTTGCTTCTCACAAACTGACAAAAACTAATCAACACAAAGATACTACAGTCCTTTGAGTTTGGCATCTTGCCATTTGTTAGCAAAAATTGAGAACATTTGAAAGTACTGACAGTTGTAAATTTATTACTGAAATAGTACTTTAAAATTAATATGCCAAACACGATAACTTTGTGAACAAATTTATATACTTTTAAAAAACAAACTGACAAAGTGAATGCTTATATATATTCTAATCTCCCCCAAATCTTCCCATTTAAAGCTTTTTTTTTTTTTTTTAATTTATTTATTTTTTTATCTTTTGGCTGTGCCGCGCATGGCATGTGGGATCTTAGTTCTCCAAACAGGGATCGAACCCACGTGCCCTACAGTGGAAACGCAGAGTCTTAACCACTGAACAGCCAGGGAAGTCCCAAAGCTTTTTTTTTTTTTTTTTTTTAATGTTTAACTTTTTAACTCCTTATTCTTCTTCCCCTTGCTATTCTGGTCCCCTACAAGATTAAAAATGTCTGTCCACATACCAATCAACATTTTTCTCTTATTAGGCTGCAGCTCAGGCCTCTTAAGATCAAAACTCATTTTTTTTCGCCTTGCCTCGTGGCTTGCAGGATCTCAATTTCCCAACCAGGGATTGAGCCCAGGCCACAGCAGTGAAAGCACCAAATCCTAACCACTAGATCACCAGGAAACTCCCAAAAGTCAAGTCTTAAATGAGTTCTGGTCCAGAAAAATAACCAGCCAGTGGGCAAGCCCAGGACAGTGAGTCAGGTAGCACCCACCTGTAGCCCACCTTGCGGGCATAGTGCAGGCAATTCTCCTTTACATGCGTCTGGAAGTAGGCAGAGCGACAGAGGGCTCCACACTCCGGACAACAGTAGGGGGACTTGTGGGCGTGGATCCGCTGGTGGGCACAGAAACTGCACTGGTTGGGCAGCAGCATCTGGCACACCTGGCAAGTCTAGGAAAGAACAGCAAGAAAGCAGTTCACACAGGAGCCACAGGCCTGTAGCTCTCCAATCAGAGCTGTCTGGCTTTCCTAGGACATGGGTCAGAATGACCTCCTCCCCCAACCATTCTCTCTTCCAGCTCTCCTAGGACACTAGTGAAATCCCCAGACCTCATGAAGTGTTGACACTGACACCCAAGCTAGCTTTGCCTCTCACCTTATTAATCAAAAACAGACCTGACCGTATTTTCCCAAAGATTAGTCCTACATGTAGGACTGTGAGTACTTCTCTCCTCTGGCTTAGCAGAGGACCACGTTTTCCTTTTCAGAGGCCCAAGGCACTTCTTGAATTCTAAGACCTCATTACACTGCCAGACTCACCAGGGCCTCTACCCTAGCTCAGCAGGTTCCTACTCAACAGCTTTAGTCAGCTGACTCAGGGACTTCCAAAGTAGACCTGAGCCTACCTGGTTAATGCTCAGAAGCCCCAGTGCAGACTAACTGAGCTTCCATAACCTCAGCCCACTCTGGGGGGTGCCCTGAGCCACAATTGACCACATACACCCACAGGAAAGCACAGGATAGGTAGCAGCTCCTTTGTTCTCAGTCCCAGGAGAGAACCAGAGGCTAACAAGTCCTACAGGCAGACTCATTGAAGCTCTCTAATGGGGATAGCCCAGAGGGGGAAAGCAAGAGACTAAGCTGGTGCCTGCATCTGAAGAGGCCCTTCTTAGGAAAAAAGGGACAACTGTACTACTCACTAAGGGGGCCACTGACCTGGGGTCAGAGGAGTGTTTGGAGGGATAAGTTGTTAGGGAGGTCAGGAAAAGATCTCTGCTTTAAGCAGCAATATCCAGAATATAGGGCCTCTACAGGACAAACAATCCAGCGTTTTCAACAAAAAAAATTTCAATGGAAAAAAAAGATTAAGGGAAGAGGAATTTACAGATTAAAAGAGACTTAAAAGACATTTTCAGTGTATACAACTGCAATGTATAGCCCTTATTTGGATCCTGATTCAAGCAAGCCAAGTGTAAAAAGAAATGAGACAATCAGATATTTTAACCCTAACTTAATGATGACAACACTGAGACATCTGCCATTTGATATTAAGATTTGATAATAAGGAATTATTATTAATTTTGAGATGCGATGATATTATGTCTATGTTTTGGTATTTTTTGAGGATAAAACTTTATCTTTTAGATATATATACTGAAATAGATACTATAATGCTGGAATTTGTTTAAAAACAATCCACTGGGGGAGAGGTGAGTAAGAACATAGATGAAACAAGATGGGCCACTGAGCTGGTAACTGTTAAAAGAAGGTTCATTATACCATTCTTTCCACTTTTATATATGTTTGGGACATTCCATAATAAAAGGTTTTGTTGTTGTTTTTTCACTATTGCTCTAGGTGCAAAACAGTAAACAAGTATGCTATTTTTTGTGTAAAAATGGAGGAAATAATCACTCTCACACATACACACACGCATTTGTTCATATTTGCAAAAAAGGAGCAATGGAGCAGTAAACCAAAAGTCAATAAAAAATGGTTACCTATGGGGACGGAGAGAGAGAACAGGGTGAAACGGACAGGAATGGAAGCAAGACTTTTCTGCATATACCTTGTTATGTAATTTTGGAATCACATAAATGTTTTACATAATTTCAAATACATATACAAAATTAAACTAAATAAACAAAAGCATTCCCTAAAAACTGAAAAACAGAAACAACCTAACTCTGTATCAAGTAGGTGACATAACCATGTAGAGAAAAAAATTATCCCCAGTGACTTTTAAAACACGGTATTTTGACTTATACATTCTTAATATGATATATTCTAAGGACAAAAAGAACTGCAAATACACCCTCAACTTTATGCAGTTGTCCTAACATTAGAAATAATATTGATTTTGATATTTTAAAATTGGTGTGTATGGGGGGGTGTGTGTGTTATGTGTGTAGTAAGAAAATCTTAGGAACCAAGATTTTCAGTATAAAATCAGTTACATAAAAAGGATAATCTTGGGCTTCCGTGGTGGCGCAGTGGTTGAGAGTCCACCTGCTGATGCAGGGGACGCAGGTTCGCGCCCCGGTCCGGGAAGATCCCACATGCCGCGGAATGGCTGGGCCCGTGAGCCATGGCCGCTGGGCCTGCGCGTCCGGAGCCTGTGCTCCACAACGGGAGAGGCCACAACAGTGAGAGGCCCGCATACCGCAAAAAAAAAAAAAAAAAAAAAAGGATAATCTTACATTTTAATACCTGCATAAACTCATGATCTTCCTTTCCTCTTTTTAAAAATATATTTTTTAGCTCTGACCACTGAAAAGGCCTAGGAACAGATATATCCAGCAGAATAAGCATCTCTGGTGCCCAGAATGTGGCCTCTAAATATCATTTCTCACACACATGCACACAAAAAAAACCCTGGCTTCTTGGAAGAACAACTGACTCTAGGTTTAGTACAAGAAATGTGCCCAGGACATCTTGTTGGGGCTCAAAGTAAGAAAGCTTCTCAAGGTTTAATGAGTTCATATCAAAAGGACACAGGAGCCAGCTTGAAGGGGCTCCCACGGATCAAAGATGGGACAATTGAGCATCAAAAAGAATGACTCACAGGACTTCTCTGGTCACACAGTGGTTAAGAATCTGCCTGCCTGCTGAGGAATGCCTTATCTCCTAACTAGTTTGGGACATGAGCCAAGTTAAAATCAATAAGTGCTATAAACCACTTTATGTTGTTCCTCTCAGACTTCACGACCAGGGTGATAGATGGTCTGTGTTTGGAATGTATACACAGCTTGTGTAGAAAGGCTTGAATCAGCTTACAGCTTAAACCAACCCAAACAAGCCAAGTGGAGACTGAGTCCAGGTATGGACTCAGGAAGAGTGGACACCGTCATGCTTTGAGGGTCACAGATCACTATCTACAACTTGGCTGTGAACTCGTGGCAAACATTCCTGGCAGCAAATGCAAAAACAATAAATGTTGTGTACAACAATGAAAAAAAAAGAAGAATCTGACTGCCAATGCAGGGGACACGGGTTTGATCCCTGGTCCAGGAAGTTCCCACATGCCACAGAGCAACTAAGCCCGTGCGCCACAACTACTAAGCCTGCGCTCTAGAGCCCATAGGCCACAACTACTGAGCCCACACACTACAACTACTGAAACCTGTGCACCTAGAGCCCACGCGCCACAACAAGAGAAGCCACCATACTGAGAAGCATGCGCACCACAACGAAGAGTAGCCCCCACATGCCACAACTGGAGAAAGCCCACGCGCGGCAACGAATACACAATGCAGCCAAAAATAAATAAATTTATAAAAAAATAAAATAAATACTCATGAGATATTTTTTTAAAAAAAGAATGACTCACAAATCAAAAACATACAACAGATTCACAAAAAAACAAAAAGAAGAGGACACAAGCATAACACAAAAGAAAACCATCAAACCACAATAGGAAAAACAGAAAAAGGAACAAAGAAGAAATACAAAATCAACTGGAAAACAGGTTTAAAATGGCAATAAATACATATCTGTCAGTAATTACCTTAAATGTCAATGGACTAAATGATCCAATCAAAAGACACAAAGTGACAGACTGTTGATTAAAAAACAAACAAAAACAAAAACAAGAGCCTATAATATGCTGCCTACAAGAGACCCACTTTAGGGTGAAGGACATACAAAGATTGAAAGTAAGGGGATGGAAAAGATATTTCATTTAAAAGGAAATGATAAGAAAGCAGGGGTAGCAATACTCATATCAGACAAAATAGACTTTAAAACAAAAGCCAAAATGAGAGATAAAGAAGGACACTATATAATTATAAAAGAGGATATTACACTCGTTAACATATATGCAGCCAATACAGGAGCACCCAAATGTATAAAACAAATACTAACAGACATAAAGAGAGAAACTGATGGGAATACAATAATAGTAGGAGACTTTAACATCCCACTCACATCAGCGGACAGATCTTCCAGACGAAAAAAACAATAAAGCAATAGAGATCCTAAACAACATACAATAGAACAGGTAGACCAACTGATATTTTCAGAACATTACGTTCAAAAAACACACAATACACATTCTTTTCAAGTGCCCATGGAACATTCTCTAGGACTGACCACATACTAGGATGCAAAACAAGCCTCAACAAATTTTAGAGGACAGAAATTATTTCAAGCATCTTTTCTGACCATAAGGGCATGAAACAAGAAATCAACCACAGAAAGAGAAATGAGAAAAAAATGATTACATGGAGACTAAACAACATGCTACTAAAAAACCAATGGGTCAATGATGAAATCAAAGAGGAAAATTTAAAATACCCTGAGACAAATGACAATGAAAACACAACCATACAAAATCTATGGGATGCAGCAAAAGCAGCTCTTAGAGGGAAGTTCATAGTGATACAGGCCTTCCTCAAAAAGCAAGAATAAACTCAAACAAACAACCTAACCTACCACCTAAAAGAATTAAAAAAAGAAGAACAAGGGCTTCCCTGGTGACACAGTGGTTGAGAGTCTGCCTGTCGATGCAACGGACGCAGGTTCGTGCCCTGGTCCACGAAGATCCCACATGCTGCAGAGCAGCTGGGCCCGTGAGCCATGGCCGCTGAGCCTGCGCGTCTGGAGCCTGTGCTCCGCAACAGGAGAGGCCACGACAGTGAGAGGCCTGCGTACCGCAAAAAAAAAAAAAAAAAGAACAAAAAACCTGAAGTCAGCAGACGGAAGAAATAATAAAGTTCAGAGAGGAAATAAATAAAATAGAGATTAAAAAAAAATACAGGAAAAACCCAATAAAACTGAGAGCTGGTTCTTTGAAAGGGTAAACAAAATTGACAAATTTCTGGCCCAGGTCGCCAAGAAGAAATGAGAGAGGACCCAAATAAACAAAGTAAAAAGTAAAAGAGGAGAAATAACAATTGATACTGCAGAAATACAAAAATCCATAAAAGAATACTATGAACAACTATACGCCA